GGATGAAGGACTACCAAGTTTGTTCAAATGAATGACCTTGACATATATATTCAAGGTCACAGGGGTCAAATATGTTTAAAACCATTGAATGACTTCTTCTTAATAAGCAAAAGGCCAAGAGTGATGATATTTGGCCATTAACATGCTGGGATGAAGGACTACCAAGTGAATGACCTTCACCCATATTCAAGGTCACAGTGGTCAATAGATATTTAAATCTTTAAATGATTTGTTCTGTATAACCAAAAGGTCCAGGGTAATGATATTTTGCCAGAAGCATGCTGGGTTGGAAGACTAAAAACTCTGTTGAACCTAATGTCCTTGTTCGACATTCAAGGTCACAGGCATCATATGTTTAAATCTTTTAATAGGTTCTTATGAATCAAACACTGATATTCTGCCTGTAGCTGTATTTTAGTCAACTTTTAAGATTACAAGTGTGAGATTAATACCAGGTGAGCGATGCAGGCCCATTGGGCCTCTTGTATTTTTAAAGGATTCCTTGTAACACCGTCAATCATCTAGAGGCTGTATTCTCGTAGTTAACCATACCTCTGGACACCTGATACAATAACCGTTATTGAAATGGACCGCTGATTATCATACAATATTTATTGCCGATCTGACTCACCGTAATGTCCTAGATATTGGTAAAATAATTCATTTTACATAATGACGTTTGTTAGTAGGCGTACATTATGACTATCATATTTTTACTTGATGATAAACTAGGTCACAAAGAAAGTCACTAGGGTATAATATGGTAAAAACAATTAGGATTGTTGAATTACTTAAATGTATCTCTAAATATGGTGATAACATGTATTTAGTCATGGAATGTTTTAGGGATTTCCAAGTCAGAGTTATCTAATGGTACAATGTATCTAATGGTACAATATATTGTATATAACATTTGGTACAATGTATCGTATGGTACAATGTATCGTATGGTACAATGTATTGTATGGTACAATGTATCTAATGGTACAATGTATCGTATGGTACAATGTATCGTATGGTACAACGTATCTTATTGTACAATGTATTGTATGGTACAATGTATCATGGTACAACGTATATTATTGTACAATGTATCGTATGGTACAATGTATCGTATATAACATTTGGTACAATGTATTGTATGGTACAATGTATCGTATGGTACAATGTATCTAATGGTACAATGTATCGTATGGTACAATGTATCGTATGGTGCAATGTATCGTATGGTACAATGTATCGTATGGTGCAATGTATCGTATGGTACAATGTATCGTATATAACATTTGGTACAATGTATTGTATGGTACAATGTAATGTATGGTACAATGTATCATATGGTACAATGCACATATGGTACAATGTATATTATTGTACAATGTATCGTATGGTACAATGTATCGTATGGTACAACGTATCTTATTGTACAATGTATTGTATGGTACAATGTATCTTATTGTACAATGTATCATATGGTACAATATATTGTATATAACATTTGGTACATTGTATCGTATGGTACAATGTATCGTATGGTACAACGTATCTTATTGTACAATGTATTGTATGGTACAATGTATCTTATTGTACAATGTATCATATGGTACAATATATTGTATATAACATTTGGTACAATGTATTGTATGGTACAATGTATTGTATGGTACAACGTATCATGGTACAACGTATATTATTGTACAATGTATCGTATGGTACAATATATTGTATATAACATTTGGTACATTGTATCGTATGGTACAATGTATCGTATGGTGCAATGTATCGTATGGTACAATGTATCGTATGGTGCAATGTATCGTATGGTACAATGTATCGTATGGTACAACGTATCTTATTGTACAATGTATTGTATGTTACAATGTATCATGGTACAACGTATATTATCGTACAATGTATCGTATGGTACAATGTATCATATGGTAAAATGTATATTATTGTACAATGCATCGTATGGTACAATATATTGTATATAACATTTGGTACATTGTATCGTATGGTACAATGTATCGTATGGTGCAATGTATCGTATGGTACAATGTATCGTATGGTACAACGTATCTTATTGTACAATGTATTGTATGGTACAATGTATCGTATGGTACAATGTATCGTATGGTACAACGTATCTTATTGTACAATGTATTGTATGGTACAATGTATCTAATGGTACAATGTATCGTATGGTACAATGTATCGTATGGTACAACGTATCTTATTGTACAATGTATTGTATGGTACAATGTATCTTATTGTACAATGTATCATATGGTACAATATATTGTATATAACATTTGGTACAATGTATTGTATGGTACAATGTAATGTATGGTACAATGTATCATATGGTACAATGTATATTATTGTACAATGCATCGTATGGTACAATATATTGTATATAACATTTGGTACATTGTATCGTATGGTACAATGTATCGTATGGTACAACGTATCTTATTGTACAATGTATCGTATGGTACAATATATTGTATATAACATTTGGTACATTGTATCGTATGGTACAATGTATCGTATGGTACAACGTATCTTAATGTACAATGTATTGTATGGTACAATGTATCTTATTGTACAATGTATCATATGGTACAATATATTGTATATAACATTTGGTACAATGTATTGTATGGTACAATGTATCTTATTGTACAATGTATCATATGGTACAATATATTGTATATAACATTTGGTACAATGTATCGTATGGTACAATGTATTGTATGGTACAATGTATTGTATTGTACAATATATCTTATGGTACAATGTATCGTATGGTACAATGTATCGTATGGTACAATATAACATTTGGTACAATGTATCATATGGTACAATACATTGTATATAACATTTGGTACAATATATCGTATGGTACAATGTATCATATGGTACAATGTATTGTATGGTACAATGTATCGTATGGTACAATGTATCGTATGGTGCAATGTATCGTATGGTACAATGTATCGTATGGTACAATGTATCGTATGGTACAATATATCTTATTGTACAATGTATCATATGGTACAATGTATCGTATGGTACAATGTATTGTATGGTACAATGTATCTTATTGTACAATGTATCATATGGTACAATGTATTGTATGGTACAATGTATCGTATGGTACAATATATTTTATTGTACAATGTATCATATGGTACAATATATTGTATATAACATTTGGTACAATGTATCGTATGGTACAATGTATTGTATGGTACAATATATCTTATTGTACAATGTATCATATTGTACAATATATTGTATATAACATTTGGTACAATGTATCGTATGGTACAATGTATTGTATGGTACAATGTATTGTATGGTACAATATATCTTATGGTACAATGTGTCATATTGTACAATGTATCATATGGTACAATATATTGTATCTTACATTTGGTACAATGTTTTAGATAATTTTTTTCGAAAAGCTTACTTGTTCCCCTCTTCAGAAAATTCCAAAATAAACTGAAAAATGTGAAATTAAGAAAACATTAGTATATTATTAGGATCAATGTTAGTGAGCTTTTGCAAAAATCTCTTGCTAATTGTTTTAGTTAATGAAATTGTATGAAAATGTTATCAGTGTTCAAGTTTACCAAAATTGGAAAACCTTACAAAAACTGAACTGAGGAAGTATTTTGAAAGACTGCGACTGCATGCTGATTGGTTTGTAAGTTGTTATGGTAACAGGTATTAGTGTGATAATACAGGGATTGTGGAATAAGAGGATCGTACGACGATTCATTAGAGATCCTGTTTTTAAGACAAATGTGTATTGATTATAAGATCTTCTCCTCAAAGAAGCTTACTTAACTGACCACTTAAGTTATATAGTAAAACTGCCCTTGGGTATTATTCTTGTCATAGAGCGGTCAATTCAATTAGTGATGTATGTTTTTGTTTACTTTCAGCAGCAGTCAATTCAATTAGTGATGTATGTTTTTGTTTACTTTCAGCAAATCAAAGCTGCCGAGCGTTATATGAAGAGACTTGAATTTCACCTATCTAAGGTAAATTTACACTGAAAAAAGAAAATTTCATGTTGTTGCATTTACAGATCTCAATATTAGTATACTAATTTACTAGTATTAGTATACTAGTAAATCAAAAATGTTAAATGGTAAAAGATCATCCTCTCCTGGAGTTCTATCAGTTGTAAGCCGTTTCCTGACAGGTTCAGCCTTACAATAATAGATATGATGAAATGTTTAAAGAAGAATGTCACTGGTCCAGGTCTTATGGCGTCTTCAAAGTTTTTAGAAAATAGATATTATTGTCTGGAAAATCTGTTTCTTAGCAACAGCAGCCATACTATATACTTTTACTGAGTTTTTTTTTCTGTATATAAGAAATGGTTATCTTGTCATAAGTTTAACAATACAAGTTAATTTATATCGATTAGGAATGACAAACATCGGCCTCTTTCATGACAAGTTGACCATACTTTTGGTAGTGTGATAATGTTACACAAACTGACATGTACAACAATGGTATAATAGGAAATCAATAGACGCTACAGGTGATTTGTATATATGTCTGCAATGTTAACTAGTATAGATCCGTAAATATGCTCCTGCAGTGTTGTAACCCACTAACTAACCTGCATGGCAAAAACCAAATCATATTTTTTGCACACAAGGATAAATAAAGTCATATGAATGATCATTTTGATATTTCAAATCTACACCTGAATAAGTGTCCCAGTATTCATTGAACAATGGTGTGAACCCCACTATATGACCGCATTCAACCAGCCAACAGCCTGGACACTTTTGAACTCATGCAGATTTCAAATGTTTGTCATAGCTGAATATTTTTACTGTTTTCCCAGATTGAAGAGCTCCATGACTGCTATTTGGTCCAGCAGCAGCTAAGAGAAGGTATGTTGTCCCTGGCAACGTGAGTCATGACTTCCTCAACCCCGATAATATGACAAGAAATACATAGATACAATCTCAGGGAAAGACAACATCTTTATCTTAATTCAACTGAGGATCTAAGAATACTTCATCAGCCACAGAAGCTTAAAACGTTTATAGGCTAAGGACATTTCAATAAAAAAAGGAAATACAGGGCAAGCTAGGCCTTTAAAAATATCTGGTGGCTTTAATTTGCATCAGGTCATGTGATAAGGTATGGTTTTATAATTTGTGTTTGGTATCACCCAGACTAAAAGGGCATTACAAAGGTTTCTTGGGATTAGGAGGGAATCTCAATTGAAGTCGTGCTGGATGTCAAGGCCATGATGGAGCTCGAGGTAAACTGAATCACTAAGGAGTTGGGGATCACAGAGATGATTGAAACTTCAAATGACTGATCCCCAACCATTATACATGTAACAGTTTAATCATCAAACATACCAGTACACCCTGCTGCTTACCTCACCACTGTCTTCAATCCACAACCATTATACATATAACAGTTTAATCATCAAACATACCAGTACACCCTGCTGCTTACCTCGCCACTGTCTTCAATCCACAACCATTATACATGTAACAGTTTAATCATCAAACATACCAGTACACCCTGCTGTTACCTCACCAATGTCTTCAATCCACAACCTTTATACATGTAACAGTTTAATCATCAAACATACCAGTACACCCTGCTGTTTACTCACCACTGTCTTCAATCCCCAACCGTTATACATGTAACAGTTTAATCATCAAACATACCAGTACACCCTGCTGCTTACCTCACCACTGTCTTCAATCCCCAACCATTATACATGTAACAGTTTAATCATCAAACATACCAGTACACCCTGCTGCTTACCTCACCAATGTCTTCAATCCACAACCATTATACATGTAACAGTTTAATCATCAAACATACCAGTACACCCTGCTGCTTACCTCACCACTGTCTTCAATCCCCAACCATTATACATGTAACAGTTTAATCATCAAACATACCAGTACACCCTGCTGCTTACCTCACCAATGTCTTCAATCCCCAACCATTATACATGTAACAGTTTAATCATCAAACATACCAGTACACCCTGCTGCTTACCTCACCACTGTCTTCAATCCCCAACCATTATACATGTAACAGTTTAATCATCAAACATACCAGTACACCCTGCTGCTTACCTCACCAATGTCTTCAATCCCCAACCATTATACATGTAACAGTTTAATCATCAAACATACCAGTACACCCTGCTGCTTACCTCACCACTGTCTTCAATCCCCAACCATTATACATGTAACAGTTTAATCATCAAACATACCAGTACACCCTGCTGCTTACCTCACCACTGTCTTCAATCCCCAACCATTATACATGTAACAGTTTAATCATCAAACATACCAGTACACCCTGCTGCTTACCTCACCAATGTCTTCAATCCCCAACCATTATATATGTAACAGTTTAATCATCAAACATACCAGTACACCCTGCTGCTTACCTCGCCACTGTCTTCAATCCCCAACCATTATACATGTAACAGTTTAATCATCAAACATACCAGTACACCCTGCTGCTTACCTCACCACTGTCTTCAATCCCCAACCATTATACATGTAACAGTTTAATCATCAAACATACCAGTACACCCTGCTGCTTACCTCACCAATGTCTTCAATCCCCAACCATTATATATGTAACAGTTTAATCATCAAACATACCAGTACACCCTGCTGCTTACCTCGCCACTGTCTTCAATCCCCAACCATTATACATGTAACAGTTTAATCATCAAACATACCAGTACACCCTGCTGCTTACCTCACCAATGTCTTCAATCCACAACCATTATATATGTAACAGTTTAATCATCAAACATACCAGTACACCCTGCTGCTTAGCTCGCCACTGTCTTCAATCCCCAACCATTATACATGTAACAGTTTAATCATCAAACATACCAGTACACCCTGCTGCTTACCTCACCAATGTCTTCAATCCACAACCATTATATATGTAACAGTTTAATCATCAAACATACCAGTACACCCTGCTGCTTAGCTCGCCACTGTCTTCAATCCCCAACCATTATACATGTAACAGTTTAATCATCAAACATACCAGTACACCCTGCTGCTTACCTCACCAATGTCTTCAATCCACAACCATTATATATGTAACAGTTTAATCATCAAACATACCAGTACACCCTGCTGCTTAGCTCGCCACTGTCTTCAATCCCCAACCATTATACATGTAACAGTTTAATCATCAAACATACCAGTACACCCTGCTGCTTACCTCACCAATGTCTTCAATCCACAACCATTATATATGTAACAGTTTAATCATCAAACATACCAGTACACCCTGCTGCTTAGCTCGCCACTGTCTTCAATCCCCAACCATTATACATGTAACAGTTTAATCATCAAACATACCAGTACACCCTGCTGCTTACCTCACCAATGTCTTCAATCCACAACCATTATATATGTAACAGTTTAATCATCAAACATACCAATACACCCTGCTGCTTACCGTGCCACTGTCTTCAATCCCCAACCATTATACATGTAACAGTTTAATCATCAAACATACCAGTACACCCTGCTGCTTAGCTCGCCACTGTCTTCAACCCCAACCATTATATATGTAACAGTATAATCATCAAACATACCAATACACCCTGCCACTTACCTCGCCAATGTCTTCATGTTTATCACAAATGTTCATTGTGAAGTTTTTATATGACTGTCAAAAATTTGGTTGGCTGTATTATGGCATGGGGAGTATCCACTATCTGATTTTTGCAAGATTAATATTGTGACGCTTTGATGATCTTCAAAAGACAAAGGCAACACAATTAAACTCTGCGCACAATTAATTTCTTAGTTACAATACATGTGTATCAAACTGTGAATTTGAGATTCACTGTTGATACTGACACTATTTGCAAAAACAAAACAAAACGTCTACATGTCTGACTTCCACAATAAATAGCATAAAATAATATGTGGAAGTTGTTAAAAATGATATCTGGAAATCTTTGTCAAATGTGTATATGATAGCATCCTTCGTTAAAACTTGATTTCATTTTTAAGTTTGAAATTAACTGTTTAGATATAGTGCTAAGAAAATGTATACAATTTTATTACTCATTTCCTTTACACATATAGATCAGAAAACATTGATCAAGGCTGTCAGCTTTTCAGTAGATTTGCCTTATTGTATTCCATCCTACTTTGTCTATGAAATGTTAATGTTATGTTATAAGGAAATAGAAGAGGAGGGAAATGTAACCTGTGTATACTTGACCCTGTATAATCTAGAATTCAATATAACCCAGACCTTTAAGTTTGTCAATCTAGATAGAATTCTATGTAAATGGAAACTGTGTAGTTCAAAATCCTGTGAATATCGACCAGAAATATTGTGCCTCAGTGATGTTTGGTTTAGACAGGGTTCGCTGCGTAACTATTACGTTATAATCTCAGTGTGTATAACTTTACTACCCAGGTCGTATGTGTCATTACTTGGTATTCAGAAACCGGTCTCCTCTAGCCGTATTGTTGTCAGGATTAAATGTGTTCGGTGATTGATGGGAGGTATAGAAATCCAATAAATATGTTTTACTGCAGGAAGACTTTTGTAGTTCTACAGTTTTATTTCTCATTCAGGATATTGTGTCATAAAACTGTTACATAAAATCAGTTATATCGGTCCAGATAAATCGTTTGTGAAGATTTTCTGCTGGAAATGTCAGCCCTGATAACAGTTATGTTGGGTCATATTGATGGGGAAATCTCAATTACATCACACAGCACTGGTCATGTGAAATTTCCTACTGATTTTCTATATCGTGTAGTCTTAATAAAACTTTAAATGTAGAGCTGATTTTCTGAGAGAAGACCTAAATACAGTAAATAAATGATGAGTATATTAAGTAAAATGTAAAGAGTACTAATTATTGATGTCCTTTGTATAAATGGGGAGCATGATATTCCTTAAATTTAACAAGATACGTTAAATAAAAATATCTTGTAAGATTTGGTTGGAATGGGAAAGGGTCTTGATGTTTTAACGTAAAACACAAAATAGAAATAGTTAATTTGACTTTATCTGTTTATCAATATTGTACTAAAGGACTATGTATGGTTTGGGCCTGTTTTGGCCCCCAAATGCATCAAAATTCAAAACCTTTAAATGAACTTTGAAATGACTGGGTTTTTTTTATTTTCGAACACTTCCCAAATACTATCATGAAAATATTTATTTATATTTCTAATTATTGTTGCCATGGTAACAAGTTCTTTGCATTAATTAGAAAAAATTGAATATTCAGTAAATGCATAGTTTTTCTCCTAGAAACTATAGAGCGCATATTCGAACAAACTTAATATCAAAGGATAATGTGTAGGCACCTGTAATACATCTTGAGGAGAAATATAAATTTTGTTCAAGAGTGCGCTCTATGGTAGCTAAGAGAAAAACTAGGTGAAAACCTGTCAAAATTGACTGAATATTCAAATTTCAATAATTTATGCAAATACGACCTGGATACAATGGCAGCCAAAATTGAAAACACAAATAAATGTTTACATAATATAGTACTGGGGAAGTATTCAAAATTAAAGAAACAGTCGTTTGAAAGTTCTATTGCAGATTTATAATTTTGATGGATTTGGGGGCCAAAAAAGGCCCAAACCATACATAGTCCTTTGAATTAAATATTAGACAATATTGTACTTGATTCCAACAAGTTATATTATACCAACCATGAGTTACTAAATGATGTGACCATGTTTCAGGGACGAAGACAATGCAGCGGGCATACATTCTGTCCCCGGCCAAACGACGAGAGGTGTTGGCCAGTGTGAGATACGGCATGAAAGAATGTTCTCAGGTACGTGTTTACAAATACCAGGTACATGTAACGGCTAATTCTGCTTATAACCTGTAAAGGTTTTAACAGTCATCTGGTTACCTGTGTACATTATAACAATTATTTCTAGTTTATATACCTATAGTCTGTAAATAACTGTTGTCTCAGGTATCACCATATAAAAAAAAAAGATAGAGAATATTTTTCTGTTTCACTGTCAAAATGCAAGGCTGGACTGTTAATTATGTTAAGAAGAAGTATATTGAATTTAAGAATACTTTTAGAAATTATTTTTTGTCTTTCAGACAATGTGTGCCATAGAGGCTCAGTTAGAGGCAATGCTGGGAACATTTAACTGTAAATTAAAAGGTAAGGAAGTGACAGATAACAACTAACTGAGTATTCTGCTGTTGTGTTTGTAAAAATACTTAAAACAATAGGTTTATTTGGGCTTTGAGCCGTTTATCAAGGCTCTGAACGGTTCATCAGGGCTCCTTACCTAATTTGTTCAATGTTTCTGACTTGTAGGAATGGCTGGATTTGCACGACTTTGTCCGGGCGATGTGTTTGAAATTTCCTTAAAACATGGCACCCAGAAATGGAAGTCAAAAGGGCGTGTAGAGAAAAATGGTGCTCAGAGATGGGACAACGCGGAGTACACATTTAAGGCTCTAGTCGGTGACATCATACACATCAAGGTAAGAGACTATTTATATACCGTAATTATATGTTCCTAGTGTTTTGACTTGGACCACCTGACAAAGTAATTAAATATGTCTGTAGGATATTGTTTATTTGTGATTAGGCCATTTTTTCTGCAGTGACATAACAACACTAAAATGTAGATAGAAAGGGTTTCTTTAAACATCAGGAAGGGAGAAAATCCAAGAGTTCTTAAGTTAAACAGAAGAACTCCCATCACATTCAAATCTTTTGTTTGTTCCTGCCATTTAAACTATTCAAAACCTTTGATCTTTTTAATATACAGGGAGTGGAGGCTCGTAGTTTTAAGTCCGTTCTACTTGGTCAGAAAAGCTGTGATACTCGTGACCTTTTCTCCTCCAACCCTCAACTCATGACCGTCAGCATCAACACCAACGGCTCACTCAAACTCAGCATTGTCATCACATGGAAGTAAGTCTAAACACCTCCAAAATGTATTACTGTATAACACGAAATGTTCGTGGGTACTTTCCTTTGTGGTTTGAAGCTATTTAGATGGTTTCGTGGTACAAACTTTCATGGATATCCTATATTAACAATCAGTAGACACGTACTAAATTTTGTATATCATTCAAATTCGTTATAGTTATTTTCATGGTTCCATAGCAACCACGAAAACCACGAATGTTTATAAACAACCAACATTTCATGTTATACAGTGCGTCATGTGTATCTGATAGTGACTGGCAACTGGAATCCCAAATCAACTACCTCACCCTGTTTTATCCTTGGTATCAAATTTGAGTATACGACCTTTATCTGCTCACAACTGATATACGCCGAATGACATTTCTCATTGATTTTCAGGGGAAGGGGGTCTTTTGAAAATAATCATTTGTGAAATTGTTTAATTAAAAATAGAAACTTTTTTTACTAATTCATTGTTTTTTTTAATATTTTGTATGAAAAATAATGTACTTTTCCAATGTTTTTCTCACATTAAAATAAATCTATAATGTAGTTTATGCAGGAAGTTTAAAAATCAAATTTATAAATGTTTGCAAAGGAACAATTTTCACCAAATGTCTAAAGAGAACAAAATGTTGCTATAGTCTTACTTCTAACTAATCGTGTTGTTGTTCCGACAGCCCACTAGATGGCGTGGAGGAGAGCATGTCCTACTTCGAGGTTCCTATGCGAGCAGCCACCACACCGCGGAGACGCCCCGTATCTGTACTAGCTCTGAATGGCGAGTTAGTAAGTAGCAATACCTGATGTGTTGTTTACCATTAGTAATATTGACTTCCTGTAACAACCAAAAATGGATCTTAAGTGTTCCGTTTTCTAAAAGGACAAATTCTGATGTATTTTGTTTAAATCAGCTTTAGCATTGACACCAGGTTTTGTTAGAGTCCTTTATGATCTTGTTATGTTGATATTCAATACAGAACAAATAATCAACAAGCATCGTATAATGTTGTAGAATGGGAGCTACATGAGTTTATCAGACAAGCAGGAACGTCGATTCTCAACACCTCTCTCACTTGCCAAGGATGATAACTTTGTGTTCCGAGCGGCCAGCAGTACAAGTGCCCAATCTTCTCCCTACCCTTCAAGTGAGGGGAGACTACTCCATAGAGACTCAGGCTTCTCCAGTGCCATCAACCTTCCCACATCCTCTCCTGTACAGCCAAAGAAGCCCCTCACCTCTCCTCCATCCCCACCCCTGGAGACAAGGCCCCGGTCTCCGCCCCTAACTAGGGAGGGGCTTCACCAGTTCCCGGTCCACCCCTCGTCCCCCGTTTTGTCACACTCCACCCTGCCCTCATCTGTTTTCAACCACCTCCACTTCCCTGTGGCGTCCAGTCACAGTGGTAGCCACGTACGAGAGGAACCACAAACGGTAGAGGATGCTCTCAATTCGCTACAGACTTCCCTCGAGGACTTCCACGGGCAGTACCGTGAACTCGAACGACTGGAGGATGTGGTAGTTACCCTGGAACATGTACTTAGGGTAAGAAAATAAAAGGAAATTATTTGTAAAATTCAAATATTAAAGTCATATAGGTAATATTTTGAATTATATAATGAGATTAAGTAACTCTGCATCACATATGTATGGCAAAGTAATTCTGTAGCACTTAGTCAGGTACCTTCATATTATAGTGTCCTCTTTGGCTTTTTCAGTATACAATGTAGCTATATATAAACAGAAGTATATGTCCCTGTGACATAACACAGGAATGATTTGTGTTTCTACTGTGTTTTTGTGTTTACAGAAGGAGTCTCGGTGTAGCTCCCGATCCTCCAGTATCAGTATATCCATAGAGAGTGCTCTTGAGGCGTTCGATTTCCTTAATACTGAGGAAACTACAGTAGAGGAGGCAGAAGCTCAGGTGTAAGTACCCCTCAACTTCTCTTTGTTTCATTTTGAAATCCAATTCATTACAGATGTTGGATTTTCAGGAAATTTGTGATCAAAATTTTCATTTGTCTCATTTTCTTTTAAGGATGTGCTAGATCTGAATGATATCACTATTTCTGTGAAATTAAAAGTTGTCATTTTTTTTAGAAATAGAAAGTAATTTCATGAAATACTTTATTGCATTATTGCATCCTAAATTTTTCGAGATGTTTCTGTCTCAGAGACCAAGCGGCATTTGACAATATCATATCCAGTCCTGAATCCACGGCTAAGACAGCTGACTCGGGCATCGAGTCACTGGCCAAGCGTCTGAGTGAGGACACACAGCTGGGGTCAAGTGAAGGGTCAAGTCCCCTGCCTCCCACCACAGGGAATGACCAAGTGGACCACGCCCTCATATACCACCTTGTGTACTGTGAACGCCTACTCGAGGTATGGCGTCTTTTGGGATTTAAATATCATAAACTGTAATTCAAATCTTTTACAGTGTCACACAGCTGTATATTTTCAAGATGAATTTTTAAAGTATCTGTTTATTTTAATGGGTTGTATATATAAAAAAAAAAATGAGGTTTGAATGTAAGTTAGATATACACCTGGGGAAAGATCAAACTACAGTTTAAGTCATGAAGAAAATGATTCTTTTTGGGCATTTGTTCGAATCTTTGATTTTGCACACCAAACTGTCAGGATGTAGGTCAGAATGTGTCGGATACAATAAATGAACTATCTGAGGGTATGAAGCAAAGTTATCATTTAATAAAAATTGATGCTTTTATATTGCAGAGTCTGGGTAATTTTGGCCCACTGAAGTGTCGTGAAATCTATGCATTAGACAAGCTACAGAAACAGGCAGAGATCATAGAACACCTTATAAAGGTGGCCGATACAGACTCGGTCGTAGACCTCCTGTCAGGTAAGTCCTAAATACAACACCTTATAAAGGTGTCCAGTACAGACTCTGCCGTAGACCTCCTGTCAGGTACGTCCTAAATACAACACTTTATAAAGGTGGCCGGTTCAGACTCTGTCGTAGACCTCTTGTCAGGTACGTCTTTAGTACAATACCTTATAAAGGTGGCCGGTTCAGACTCTGTCGTAGACCTCTTGTCAGGTACGTCTTTAGTACAATACCTTATAAAGGTGGTCGGTTCAGACTCTGTCGTAGACCTCCTGTCAGATACGTCTTTAGTACAACACCTTTAGAAATAATTATCACAGATGTTCGTATCAAAACCTTTTCTCTTCCTGTTATAGTTATCACTTGTATTGATTTCTCACTATTTTGGAATCTCCATGGTCATTTTATATTCAATGTACTTCCTGATTTTATAAAGGTTAAGTTATAATGGATCACATGCAATCAGAAACAAAGTCTTTGTTTTTTACTCTTATGTATTTTTATGGTAATACATTGTTTTACTAAAGCATGTTTTCAATTAATGATTTGAACAGACACCAAAGCCTTTCTTCTCACTACTGTTTAATTCCTACATTGCCATCAAACTTTACTGGCACCAAGGGATTCCTGATTGTATGGGACACATGGAAGAGTGTTGGTATAACTAGGGCAAAGAATAAGTTTTTTGGGGACACATACATGTAATCATGTCAAATATTTATATCATTTTGTTATATAAAAGTCTGCATGGTGTAAGTTTTGTCAGGTTTCCTGTATACCCAATGTTTTATTGTATGTTTACGATTATTGACAGTGATGACGGAGCTGACAGATGACAAGAGTCTGCGAGAGTTCTGGGCACGTTGTACGGACCACAACATGTTGTACATACACCCGGAGAAGTTAGTGTCGAGCCTGGAGCAGAAGTACGGTCCGCAGCTTCAGTCCAAGTACAACAAGGATCCTAAAAAAGGTAACATCAAAAGGCAATATTTATTATATAAAGTTGTGGAAACTGAGACTTAAATCCTTGAACTTAGAAATCTGTATAAAGCAGAGTATCAGACATGTTCATTTACATACAATGTATACATTTTGAGCAGAAAACATATTGGTTCTTGTCACGTTTACTTTAGATCAGTTTCACTAGGGGATGATGATAAACTGAGACTGGGACGTTGGACTATTTGTCGTTAATGAATGATTCCCTTACAGTGTTATGACACCTTGTGATGAGGATACTAGACACGCCAAGTTACGACCCAGAAAAGATCAACACAACGTGTGTTGTACTATTTGTCGTTAATGAATGATTCCCTTACAGTGTTACGACACCTTGTGATGAGGATACTAGACGTGCCAAGCTACGACCCAGAAAAGATCAACACCACGTGTGTTGTCACCCTTCACCAGTTTATGCGCTACTTTAAGGACGAGGGAGGTTTTGCCAACGTAGACGGAGTGGCCTCTGATTGTAAGTTATATGGTGTAGCTCTCAAAAAAGGCTCAATATATATATGTCCATTATGTGATTGATTTTCTATATGAGTGCTAATAGAAGATTTCCCAATGTTTTTGTTACTTCTATATACTTACCATGGTAATATTTATTCACGGAATGATTACAAATGCTTTTCCAGTTTTCATGAGACATGACTTTGACCAGATACATATTTTGTCCACAGTGCATATGATTGAACAGCTCTGCTCCACAAACCCTGATGCTGTGATCAAGACAATCTTGTCACTCCGAGATGAACTTCCTTCGTCACCCTGCCTCAAGGTTATGGGGGCACTGCTGGTATCCAAGAGCCAGGAGGTCCAGAAGTGTCTGGGTCAGTAATACTCTTGGTTTTGTATTTCTTGGTCTTGATCATAGAAAAGCTCATTATCTTGGTTTATAAAAGAACATGTTCATCGATAACAAAATTAATTCTATGAAAGTATGTGCAAATGAATTGTATGTATATAAAGTTTGTCAGTAAATCAATGATGTTTTCAAAGATAAATATATGTGGTGTTTCAGCCTCGTATCTGAACCTGATCAACATGAAGAGTGAGGAAAGAACAAAGGTAAGTCACATGTACAGACACCTTACACAGACACCTCACACAGACACATTATACTGACACCTTACACAGACACCTGGCACCTCACACAGACACATTATACTGACACCTTACACAGACACATAACAATGACACATTACACTGGCACATTACACTTACACATTACACTGACACCTCACACAGACACATTACACTGACACATTACACTGACACCTTACACAGACACCTTACACAGACACCTCACACAGACACATTATACTGACACCTTACACAGACACCTGGCACCTCACACAGACACATTATACTGACACCTTACACAGACACATAACAATGACACATTACACTGGCACATTACACTTACACATTACACTGACACCTCACACAGACACATTACACTGACACATTACACTGACACCTTACACAGACACCTTACACAGACACCTCACACAGACACATTATACTGACACCTCACACAGACACATTACACTGACACATTTCACTGACACCTTACACAGACACCTTACACTGACCCCTTCCACAGACACATAACAATGACACATTATACTGGCACATTACACTGACACATTACACTGACACATTACACTGACATATTACACTGACACATTACACTGACACTTCACACAGACACATTACACTGACACATTACACTGACACCTCACACAGACACATTATACTGACACCTCACACAGACACATTATACTGACACCTTACACAGACACCTCACACAAACACCTTACACTGACACATTACACAGACACATTATTCTGATACCTCACACAGACACATTACACTGACACCTCACACAGACACATTATACTGACACCTTACACAGACACATAACAATGACACATTACACTGGCACATTACACTGACAACTCACACTGACACCTTACACAGACAACTTACACTGACGCATTTCACTGACACCTTACACAGACACCTCATACTGTCACCTTACACTGACATCTTACACTGACACCTTACACTGACACCTTACACAGACACCTTACATACACTTTACACTGACACCATTATACTGACACCTTACACAGACACCTGGCACCTCACACAGACACATTATACTGATACCTTACACAGACACCTGGCACCTCACACAGACACATTATACTGATACCTTACACAGACACCTGGCACCTCACACAGACACTTTAAACTGACAGCTTACACAGACACATAACAATGACACATTATACTGACACCTTACACTGATACATTACACTAACACCTTACACTGACACTTTACACAGACACATAACAATGACACATTACACTGGCACATTACACTGACAACTCACACTGACACCTTACACAGACAACTTACACTGACGCATTTCACTGACACCTTACACAGACACCTCATACTGACATATTACACAGATACCTCATACTGACACCTTACACAGACAACTTACACAGACACCTTACACAGACAACTCACACTTGATACCTTACACAGACAACTCACACTGACGCCTTACACAGACAACTTACACTGACGCATTACACTCACGCCTTACACAGACACCTCATACTGACATATTACACAGATACCTCATACTGACACCTTACACAGACAACTTACACAGACACCTTACACAGACAACTCACACTTGATACCTTACACAGACAACTCACACTGACACCTTACACAGACAACTTACACTGACACATTACACTGACACCTTACACTGACCCCTTTTACTGACACATTACACTGATACCTTACACAGACAACTCACACTGACCCCTTACACAGACAACTTACACTGACGCATTTCACTGACACCTTACACAGACACCTCATACTGACATATTACACAGATACCTCATACTGACACCTTACACAGACAACTTACACAGACACCTTACACAGACAACTCACACTGACAACTCACACAGACACCTCACACTGACACATTACACTGACACCTTACACTGACACCTTTTACTGACACATTACACTGATACCTTACACAGACAACTCACACTGACACCTTACACAGACAACTTACACTGACGCATTACACTGACACCTTACACAGACACCTCATACTGACATATTACACAGATACCTCATACTGACACCTTACACAGACAACTTACACAGACACCTTACACAGACACCTCATACGGACCCCTTACACTGACACCTTACACAGACACCTCACACAGACACTTCACATAGCCAGCTCACACAAACACCTTACACTGCTACCTTACACATACACCACTGACACCTTACAGACACCTTACACACACATTACACAGACACCTCACACAGACACTTCACATAGCCACCTCACACAAACCCCTTACACTGCTACCTTACACAGACACCTGACACCTGACACCTCACACAGACACCTGACACAGACACCGTACACTGACACCTCACTCTGACACCTTACACTGACACCTTACTTACACCTTACACAATACCTTACACTGACACCTTACACTGACCCCTTTTACTGACACATTACACTGATACCTTACACAGACACCTTACATATACTTTACACTGACACCTTACACTGATTCCTTACACAGTAACCTTAAATACACTTTACACTGACACCTTACAATGATACCTTACACAGACACCTTACATGCACTTTACACTGACACCTTACACTGATACCTTACACAGACACACACAGACACATTATACTGACACCTTACACAGATACATCACACTGACACCTTATACTGACACCTTACCCAGACACATAACAATGACACATTACCCTGACACATTACACTGACACATTACACTGATTACACTGACATATTACACTGACACATTACACTGACAACTCACACTGACACCTTATAATGACACCTTACACAGACACATTACACTGACACATTACACTGACACCTTACACTGATACCTTACCCAGACACCTTACATACCCTTTACACTGACCCCTTACAGACACCTTACACAGACACCTCACACATACACGTCACACAGACACCTCACACTGACACATTACACTGACACCTTACACTGATACCTTACACGGACACCTTAAATACACTTTACACTGACACCTTACAATGATACCTTAAACAGACACCTTACATACACATTACACTGACACCTTACACTGATACCTTACACAGACACCTTACATTCACTTTACACTGACACCTTACACTGATACCTTACACAGACACACACAGACACATTATACTGACACCTTACACAGACACCTCACACAGACAACTGACACAGCCACCTCACACAAACACCTTACCCTGACACCTTACACTGACACCTTACTGACACTTTACACTGACACCTTACAATGATACCTTAAACAGACACCTTACATACACATTACACTGACACCTTACACTGACCCCTTTTACTGACACATTACACTGATACCTTACACAGACACTTTACATACACTTTACACTGACACCTTTCACTGACACCTTACACAGACACCTCACACAGACACTTCACATAGCCAGCTCACACAAACACCTTACACTGCTACCTTACACATACACCACTGACACCTTACAGACACCTTACACTGCTACCTCACATAGACACCTTACACTGCTACCTTACACATACACCACTGACACCTTACAGACACCTTACACAAATACCTTACACGACACCTTACACAGACACCTTACACAGACAACTCATACTGACAACTCACACAGATACCTCACACTGACACATTACACTGACACCTTACACTGATACCTTACACAGACACCTTTCATACACTTTACACTGACACCTTACAGACCCCTTACACTGCTACCTCACATAGACACCTTACACTGCTACCTTACACAGACACCTTACATACACTTTACTCTGACACCTTACACTGACACCTTACTTACACCTTACACAATACCTTACACTGACACCTTACACTGATACCTTACACGGACACCTTACATACACTTTACACTGATACCTTACACTGACCCCTTACACAGACACCTCATACTGACACCTTACACTGACATCTTACACTGACACCTTACACTGACACCTAACATACCCTTTACACTGACACCTTACAGACACCTTACACACACATTACACAGACACCTCACACAGACACTTCACATAGCCACCTCACGCAAACACCTTACACTGCTACCTTACACAGACACCTTACATACTCTTTACACTGACACCTTACAGACACCATACACAGACACCTCACACAGCCACCTTACACTGACCCCTAACATACACTTTACACTGACACCTTACCCTGACACCTTACACAGACACCTTACATACACACTGACACATTACACTGACACCTTACACTGATACCTTACCCAGACACCTTACATACCCTTTACACTGACCCCTTACACTGACCCCTTACACAGACACCTCATACTGACACATAACACTGACATCTTACACTGACACCTTACACTGACACTTTACACTGACACATTACAGACACCTTACACAGACACCTCACACAGTCACTTCACATAGCCACCTCACACAAACCCCTTACACTGCTACCTTACACAGACACCTGACACCTCACACAGACACCTTACACTGACACCTAACATACACTTTACACTGACACCTTACAGACACCTTACACTGCTACCTCACATAGACACCTTACACTGCTACCTTACACATACACCTCACACCTCACACAGACACCTGACACTGACACCTTACACTGACACCTTACACTGACACCTCACACTTACACTTTACACTGACACTTTACACTGACACCTTACACTGATACCTTACACAGACACCTTACATACACTTTACACTGACACCTTACACTGACACCTTACACAGACACCTTACACTAACACCTTACACTAACACCTTAAACACCTCACACTGACACCTAACATACACTTTACACTGACCCGTTACAGACACCTTACACTGACAACTTACAGACCCCTTACACAGCGACTGT